GGTTTACTACGAGATAGGATTAAGGCATACGTTTTTGCCCTATCAATAGCTATTGTCACTTTATTAATATTATGATCAACGCAATGATACCCTTGAGTTCCCATCATAACTCGGTTCGGAGCAAGAAGTCTTGCGATAACCCAAGTAGGTCAGCCATGTAGAGTTGTAATTACTTTTTATTTGAATATAACGACGAGTATACTACTTTCCTTAACCTACTACTATAACATGAAACTTGTAATCTCTACATAAACTTTCATATAGTACTTATCACTTGATGGTTTTAGATATATTGATTCATCCTTAACCAGAACAATGCTAAAGAGAAAAAGGGAAAGAGATGCAAGTATTAATCAAATAACATCCAACGATCAACCACGTTAATAGTCTCTCGTAGATCTTTTGTCGATGTGTCTTTTTAACCGTTTTATATGATTATTTTGTAATATAGTCTACAAGGAATGTCACAAAGAATATTTCAGAACTCTTCTATTAATAACAAAGCCATTGTACTTTAATTCAATGCAACTCGTCATATAAAAAAAACGCTAATACAAAAAATGCACAATCGTCGACAGAGAGCATTAAGTCTTTTATCTTTATGTTTTGTCAAAAAAATTCATTCCATCTATCAAAACAAAATTTATATAACTACATACATTTACAGGTCTACATTTATTGTAAATGAATGTACATGTAGAAACCGATCGTATAGCATTGGTATAGAATCCAACTAACTGAATCTAATAATCAGAGTGATCGATGAGATACAGTCTTAATTATTCCAATCAAGTCAATATTTTGTCTGACTTGTCTTCTAAGTACCAACTAATCTAAACTGATGCTTCAACTCAATGCAACTCATCATATAAAAGAAAAATGAAGGTTAAGGAAATGCGTAGAAAAGGATATCAATTATATTGGGGGGGGGGGGCGTTTAGTCTTTTATCTCTTGCGAAGGAAATCATGTTGAACGTTGCGGCGAGTGTGCTTTCTGACCATCTTATGTTTTTTTTTGTTGTCCATTTCTTTGTGTCAAACTTTAAATCGTCACCTAGCCTAGTTTCAGTAGGGTGCAAGGAAAGGAGAACGACGGGGTGCATCGGGTGGCTTGAAAAGTGCATTGACTTATCAAACATTAGGGGGGGCGGGCACGGGATGTCACTCCTTTGAGCATTTTGGTCAAGCTCTTCTTACAAAGCTGGATGGTGAAAAGGCGCCCCTTAGGTGTTTTATATGATCAAATATGGAAACTACTTGACCGCAGATATTTTAGATGGCCGGATCCTCAAGTTAAGGTTGAGGTGACTTTCTTTTACATATATTGGATTTTGGGAGAAGGTGTGGATTCTACATATCCTCCCTAAGCTACATGTCTTCATGTCGCATCTCTTGCTTCGTGTATGTCCTACAAGGGTGGCACTCTTATCTGGGGTTGTTTGTGGCAGATTTATGCTCCGTCTTCCAAGAGGACAATGAGGAGTTCGAACACCTCTTCTTCGATTGTCGCATTGTGTGTGGCTTGTGGAGGGTTTTTGGCTTATTGGGGCTTTTGTGTTCATGTTTTGTAGGATGCAACATAGTTGGGGAAGAGGGAGGGTTGTTGCATCGATGGCTCGTGTCTATGCAAGGATTGATGAATCGTTTGTCGTTGAGTTGTTGGCATTTCGTGAAGCAGTCCAATGGTGTTGCGGAAAGACATTAAGAAAGAAGATCATCATTTAGAATTGTAGAGAAATGATAAGTTGATTTTCTGAACCACGTTAATAGTCTTTCGTAGATCTTTTGTCGATGTGTCTTTTTAACTGTTTTATATGATTATTTTGTAATATAGTCTTCAAGGAATGTCAGAAAGAATATTTTGGAACTCTTCTATTAATAACAAAGTCATTGTACTTTAATTCAATGCAACTCGTCATATAAAAGAAAAAATAAGGCTAATACGGAAAATGCACAATCGTCGACAAAAAGCATTAAGCATTTTTATCTTTATGTTTTTGTAAAAAAATCCATTCCATCTATCAAAACAAAATTTATATAACTACATACATTTACAGGTCTACATTTATTGTAAATGAATGCACATGTCGAAACTGATCGTATAGCATTGGTATAGAATCCAACTAACTCAATCTAATAATAAGAGTGATCGATGAGATACGGTCTTAATTATTCCAATCAAGTCAAATATTTTGTCTGACTTGTCTTCTAAGTACCAACTAATCTAAACCGATGCTTCAAGTCAATGCAACTCATCATATAAAAGAAAAATGAAAGTTAAGGAAATGCGTAGAAAAGGGATATCGATTATATTGGGGGGGGGGGGGCGTTTAGTCTTTTATCTCTTGCCAAATAAAGCGCGTCATCCTTTTAAACGATAAAATATTACCGCATTTGCTATGTAGGTCAAAATCGATCGTATAATATCTGTACGTAATTTAGTTAACTCGAGATAATAATAACATGATCGATGAAATACAATTTTGCATCTAAACCCATTGTCTGCTCGATGTGTCTCCTAAATAGGAACGAATCTAAACCCTAGCCCCCTTCTATAATAAATAAATATATTCATCGTCAAACTCAATCCACGCAAAACAACACTGTTACAACGTGTGATACTTTAACTCAATGCAACTCATCATATAAAAAGAAAAACGAAGGCTAAGAAAGTGTATGGAAACAGAATATCGAATCGTTATGGAAAGGACATTCAGTGTTTCATTCCTTAGCTTTCTGTCAAATAAAGCGTGTCATCCATTAAACCGGAAAAAAAATCCAACCGCATTTGGTGCATTGGTCAAAATCACGGTCGTATAGCATCCGTACATAATTTAATTAACTCGAGCTAATAATAAAAACGAGACCGTACATCCAAACCCTAAGTACGGATGAATCTAAACCCTAACACATTTCCTAATCGAAAAACATCTCCATCGTACGATAACCCAAGTGTGAACATAATCTAGTCTTTAGCACCAGCCGCGTATATTAGAGGGTGTTAATTAAGGTAAGCCATGTTAATCCACTTACCCTCGCAAGCTCAATCATTGGATGGTAATATTAATAATACTGGGAAAAAAAATGTATGTAGACAACAAAAGACCAAGTAGTATATTCCATTTACTTTCTAATGAAAATATTAAATTAACAAAATTTGGTAGCCTAATGATGAGGTGACGTGAATATAATATTCTGTGTATGGCAATTGCTGTGGTGGGGGATTTGGAGACGACGTGGCTTGCCAAAATTCGGTTCCCAGAAAAATATTATAAATAGCCAACATTGTAATTTGTTGCCTGTATTACCTGCCTGTTCTGTTCTGTTCTGTTCTGTTCCCCAGAAGAAGAGAAGAGATGAGATGAAGGCAGCCATGCAGAAGCAGCAGCAGCAAGGCTTGCCCATTCTCACCAATCATAGAAAGGTTGCATTGCACCCCTCTTCCTCTTTTATCGTTCACTCATTACGAAATTGTTTTTATGTTAACAGCAGGTTGCTTAATTATTTTTTTTTATTTTTAAGTTCATTTCATTTTCTGACTACTGCCTGCAATTCAATTCATGCATGCAAAGCTTCTAATATTGTTCAAACATAGGGGGGCGGCCGGACCGGTTTCAATTGTTTAAAACCGGAAAAAAATCATTAATAGACCGATAACTTTTTTAACATAATTAAAGATTCGTTTTCAGTTCATTTGGATCGAAATCGAGACCGACAAAAAGCTTATCAATCTTCGGTTCGATTTTAAGCAATCGGCTGATTTGAAATTGCACTTAAGTTTACACGGCATGTATATATATATGACTGACTGACCTCTATTGTCCAGTGAATTTAGGGAAATTAGGAGCATGCATGTTAGTGAATTTATTATGTTATTTAAACAGCCAATTAAGTGAATTTTTGGTGTATTATAATATATTCTAAAATTTCATAATTCAATTATAGAGCCGAATTCATTAAAGGGTAAACCCTAATACTCAATCAGAAATGGGTCTTAAAAATTGGTCTGTTGGTATGGCACACCGCCACTCCAATTATAACTAATAATTAAAGAACATTACACAATTTTTTTTAAAAAATTGTATATAATAAGCTCTGCAATATTCATAGCCGCAGTGCGCTTTATCTAATCTATAATAATCATTCATCAGTGAATGAATGGATCGTTTCCCGTTTATATAAAAAATTTCTGTAATAGATTCGTTCCCATTATTATTATTATTATTAATCTCTGTCTCTTCTTTTCTTTGTTTTCCCATTATATTATAGTGATCTAGAGGAAAAGGTGACTGCGGTTTTGCCTGTGGGCCTTCATTTGCTTGTGTTCTGAGGTAATTTCGAGCTCCTCGTAAATATTTGATAAATTCATTCAACCTATTTTCATATTTGATAGCAAGTGTTTTTAAGAATATATAATAATTCATTTACATTCATGAATGTTTCATGACCCTCCAATATTCATCCCCGTTGCATTTTGAGTGAAATACTGACCAAATAAGATGTGAAATTGTCAATCATTAATAAAAGTGATTAACTAATAAATTTCTCAGAAATTATTTTGACAGAAACTGTTCAAATTTTTATCAAAATTGTCTAATAATCGACATAGCTAACTTAAATAAAATATTAGCTCTCAAAATTATGGATAACATTTTTTATATACAATATCCGCGTTTGTTGTATCATCTAGAATCTTTCTTCCCCAATTGAAATCTTTATTCATTTCCCTTTTAGAAAAAAAGGAATTTACCTTTCTACTCTTTTTATTTTCATTTTCCCGGCGCTGATGATATTAAAAGGACTGAATTAAACAACGGGCGGTGAGGGGTTTATCTATCTGGTTAGTCTGCCTGCCTGCGCGGTCTCTTGCAATTTTGTAAATCAGAGCGAAGGAATCGGGTCCGTAAAATCGATTCTTCCCCACTTACTACCTTGCTCTCTATCCGAATCCAAAATCAGCAAAAAAGAAAAGCAAGAAAAAGAATCAAAATTCCGGTTGCCGGCCGGAGAAAGAAATGGAGTGATTCCGTACGCTAAAAATCTAAATCCCTCTAGTCTGGATTAGGGTTTTATCTTTCCCCCAAAGGGTCGAATTCCATCAGAAGTAGAACCCATCAAATTCCATCACTGTAACCAAAAAAAGGGAAAACCCCCCAAGAAAAAGGTCAGTTTTTTCCCTCATTCTTCCACCCTCTCCTTTGCTTTCCACCTTTTACTGTTTAGCTGGGTGTGGTCTGGGCTTTGCCATTTTGTCCTCTGTTTTGGTTAGTTGGAGTGTCAATTCCCTTGATAGTGCCCGCTCTCTATGGAATAATATGTTCACCAGATGAAGTAAGATTTTGTTTTTCCCTTGTTGGGACTATCTTCCTTCCTTTTCAATTCCCATTTCCATAGGGAGGGAGATGAACTTCAATTACCCCAAGCTATAGTGATCTTCAGTTCCCTTCTTTCTGGTTGGGTTCCGAGTTTTTTTTCCTCGTCTATGTCTATATACAATGCATGTTTGTCTGTAACCTGCCAACAGCTGGGCTCTTCTAAATCTGCTATCTGACTTGCCACTTTCTTCAATTGGGGGTTTCACCTGCAAATAATCTGGACTGGGAATTGAATTTGTGGCTTCCTCTGTTATTAATTACGCACCATTGCTACTTCTCAAAGTTTTGGTTTGTTTCCCCTTTTCGGGGGTTGGGTGCTTCTGCGTTGGTAGCTTTCCTGCTGCGGTAATTTAGGGTAAAATTCGCTGTCTTTGTAAGAAGATGGCTAGTAGCACCAGTAGCAAACAAGAAAAGGAGGTGGGCACAATACGCCATGCTGTATGATTGCAAGTGGAAAACGAAACCTCCATCATGGAAATGAAAGCGGAGGAAATGGTGAATTTTGGGCGGTGGGCCTCTGCTGCTGTCAAAACTGTTGTTATCAACTATCAAAGATAGGATTTTTCTTCTCTTTTTTGTGTTGGGTTTGCCTTTTGAATTATATGGATATTTATGAGATGGGTTTTGTAGGCTTCTGGGTTTTTTTCTTCCTTCCTTTCTTTGTTTGGTTGCTTCTTTCCCATTGTCTCTTTCAGATCTCTCACCATCTCAACGAACCCTAAAATTACTATTCTGTTCTCCATCAGAATCACCGTCGCATTTAATTTCTGCATAATTTTTATCCTCAATTGTATTTCTCTTATTTGTTCATAATTTCATATGCTTTGAAACTCCATTTATAACATCTTTTGGTTTAATGGTTTTCAGATATTTCTCATGGTCTAACTTCAACTTTGTTGTTGCCTTTTGGATTCCATAATAGGTCAACAATTCACAAGAGTCCATATTTTTGAATTGTGGAGCAAATCACCATTGAAATTCTTCACTGCCCTTGCCTCCTTTGTGTGATTTTTATTGGAACTTATCTCTCTGCTTCAGCTTCCCTTGGCCGTTTCTGGGTGGGAGAGAGAGAGAGTTTGTTACTATCCTCTTCTTGCTTACTACTGCAGCAGCAGCAGCAGCCTGACACACACCCCTCTGTTCTGCGATAAAAATTTTATTCTGCCATCACTCCACTTTCTTGGTGGATGCCCCAAATTTAGGAATTTTCCAGATCCAGCTTTCGAGAATTGTTCTAGAAAACCTAGAACCGGGGCTGTGCTACGGTGAGTAGGTTCCAAACTGCACCGCTTCGTGAAAAGATTTCTCTTGGAGGGTTTTTGTACTTGGAGATTGTGGAATTCCGGAAGAGAGCTAGATGACTGTGGATGAAGCGGGTAGCAGTTCTTCCTTGTGGACTTTTGAGCAAGATAAGGCATTTGAGAATGCTCTGGCAACTTATGCAGAGGATGATGCCGATCGATTTGAGAAGATAGCTGCAGACGTCCCTGGGAAAACACTGGAAGAGGTTAAGCAGCACTATGAGATTCTCGTCGAGGATATTGACCTGATTGAATCTGGGCATGTGCCTTTACCCAACTATAATTCTTCCTCTGAGGGTTCATCTGGCCAGGCTGGTGATGAAGGAACTGGGAAGAAAGGTGGCCATGGAGGGCATAACAACAGTGAGTCCAGTCAAGGGAATAAGGGTTCAAGGTCAGATCAGGAACGCCGTAAGGGAATTGCTTGGACAGAAGATGAGCATAGGTATGTGGTTGCTCTTCTCTCTCTCTCTCTCCCTCCCTCTCTCTTTATCTCTCCTATGGTGTGTCATCTTCAGTGGATTTTGTACTGAGAAGTCTTGGTCTGCTTGTTACGCCCCCAGCCTCTGCAACTTTAGCTACACGAAATGGTTTAGGGATTAGAATTCACTAGGTTGTCTGAAATCCGAGAACTTTTGTACTTCCTGAATAATTAGTCTGTCATAGCAAATTGATGAGGTGATGAATGCTATATAGTCCTTGGTCTTGATTAACAACCTGCTGAAAGTTTGTCATTTTGTCTAGGATTTGGAGTTTTTTTAATCTCTATTGTTAGTACGAGAAAGATTTGCAGGGTTTCTGTCTGTCTGCATCATTATAACATATACAGCATCAATCTGGTTTGGATTGTAGATTTTGTAGCTATTAGACTGTGCTCCCTTGTAGATAAGCAATTAGACTGTTCAAAGTATGATGCCTCTTTTTTGTACCCATATGCTGAATTGTTAAAGGAAAATTTTATGGCGGTTACTGGTGAATTCTTCAATAATCTCAAACCCAAGTCAAGAGGCCTCGTGCTTTACATCTATCATGACTGGTTGAGGGTTCTCTCTTGTTTGAAAGGATTTCTTCTGCTCCTTTCACTTCTTCCACAGTATCTAGAAATGGTGGGAATCACATGTAGTTTTGACACTTGACATAGTGTTGTAGTTCGATTTCTTTTTGTTTTCAGGGAGTGGGGTTTGAATTCCATTTATATTGAACTAGGTGCACTTGTTCCTGGTGTTTTAACTGCTTGAGGTGATATTGGTTTGTTAATTCACGTCGGTATCCTTTTCTACTTCCAATCTTTGGTACATGTTTCAGTTTGGGTTACTATTTAAAGAATGCATCTATTCACAGCTTGGTAGTGGTACATAATGCATTAAGATCCCATTTTTCCACTTGGGATTTGTATTCAGTTTCTGGAACTTCCACCCTACTAGGTCAAAGTTTCATGAGATGGTCAGTTGGAACTTGTACTTCTTATGTAAAATTTGTAGTAATGGAGCCTATTCATAGTAAACCTAATCAGAACTTATGCTAAGATCTTGGCAGCATTATCTAGATACAGGAACATGCTCTTACAGTCTACGCCAGTAAAAATTGTTACTTAACAAAGCAGCTATGACATCTGTTTGTTACTGAACATCTGTCTCTCTTATGGCAACAGGTTATTCCTTCTGGGGTTGGAAAAATACGGCAAAGGAGACTGGAGAAGCATATCCCGAAACTTTGTGGTAACAAGAACGCCTACCCAAGTGGCGAGCCATGCTCAGAAGTACTTCATCCGGCTGAACTCCATAAACAAGGACCGAAGGCGTTCGAGCATTCACGACATCACGAGCGTGAACAATGCCGAGATTGCAGCAGTCCAAGGACCGATAACTGGTCAAGCAAACGGCACTCCTGCCGGCGTCAGTGGAGGAGTAGGGACTTCAGGGAAAGCCGGGAAACAACCATCTCAACACCACCCTGGCGGGGGCCCTCCAGGAGTAGGAATCTATGGTCCTCCAACAATAGGACAGCCCATCGGAGGGCCATTGGTATCGGCGGTTGGGACACCCGTGAATTTACCTGCGCCAGCACACATGGCTTACGGGGTTAGAGCGCCGGTGCCTGGGACCGTGGTCCCCGGGGCTCCGATGAACATGGGTGGGATGTCGTATCCAATGCCTCCAACGAGTACTCATAGGTGATGTAGAATACAAATGCAGAGCGAAGGTGGTAGCACAGATGAGTTTATTATGGTTCGCATTAAGTTAGATGGAGGGGAAGTTTGTCCATTGTAGGGGTTGAATAAGAATTCTTATCTTATAGTGGAAGCAAGCAGAATGCTGTTTTTACTCAGTTCTTTTGATTTGTTGATGGTGGAGGCTAGACTAGACTACATATGCATCTATCCGTATAGCCGGGCAGCAGGTGTGGGGAAGATCGTGGCGGCAGCAGCAGCATTATATGATGATGATGATGATACATTTGGGAGGCTGGTTATGGAGAGAGGCAGCAGTGATGGCAATCAATTTTCTCTTGTGGTTTTGTATTTGTTCTTATTTTCTTTCCAATCCTTGCTTTGGGGAACTCACAGTTAGTGGTATCAGAAAGACCAGACCATTTTTAGAAGTAGCAAGCTGCAGGAGTAGTGAGATAGATGTGTCTGCATCTTCCTTGGTTATGGGAAAGAAGGGAGTTGTAAAGAAGCCATTTTTAGTATTCTGAGCAGCGTAGGCTGGTGGCAGTTGCAGGCAAGCACTTATTGTTCATCATTATTTTAATACAACTCTTCAACCCCTTACATCACCCATTTTCCCTTCTACTTCACTTGCCCTCTTTTCTCAATATTCTCCACTTCCCCAACTCGGTATGTTTCACAATTCTGAACGGCCGGGGATCTTTCAGACGTTGAAGTCCAACCAACAGGGAATCACCTTCGATTTTGACGATCTTGGAGAAAGTTGATGAGTCCATAGCTGAGCTTTCCCCAGAGCAGAATTTGGTGGCTCTTGTTTGTTCCTCCGATGTCTGTAATGCTTAGTTAGTTATATAGAAAAACAGAGCATGCCTCGACAAAAGAGAGGAAAGGTAAGAGTTTTAACTTGCACTAATCGGTTCACAGCGCTTGGTTGGACGTGGTAAGAAATTAATTATATATAAAGTTACATTCACTTATTTTATGTTTTAATTAATATTAATAATTTAAAAAATAGTTCATGTAAGATACATTTATAAAATTTACATAGTGTCTTAATCATTATAAAAAACTTATATAATATATTTGTTTAACTCATACATAAAAAATAAATATTCATCCATATAATGTACGTATTGTATTCCTAATTTAGGTAATTGTTATAGAATGATATTACATAAATATTTCATAAATTGTGGTCTAACTATAAAATCAAATTGCTATAAAGGTATCACGTTTGGTTAAAATGCTAAATTACCTTATGAAGCCTATGTGTAATACAAATTGATGAGATGGTGAATATAGGTAATAACACCATAATTTAAGTTAATAATACAATAATTAAGTTATGAAAAGTATAACATTTTATTGAACTATTATGTGAAAAATAACTGAGCTTACGTAACCTTTGTGTAATGTACATTGATGAAATGATATACAGTTTACTTAATAATAAAGGAATTTCCTTTCAAATGTATATTATGAAAGAATTACGTAATATGTCTGTGTAACTGATACATAAGAAATGGCTAATCATCCATAATCATAAGCTTTGTGTAGTGTATTAATCATATTGAAATTTACATAAGACAATTTGTTTAATTGATACAAAACAAATAACTCTCCCTCCATGACGTTTTTGTAATGTATGGTGCATCTCTAATTTAAGTAATTGTTATACAATGGTGTGATGTAAAGCTTTCGTAATGTGTGGCCTAATAATAAAATTAAGTTATAAAATGTATCACATTTGGTTAAACTATTAAGTAAAAGTTAACTAATTACATTACAATTACAAAATCTTTGTGTAATACAAATTGATGATATGGACAGTTTAGTTAATAATGAAGGAATTTTTGTTCAAACTTATAGTACTAAAGTATACTAATATGTTTAATTGGTACATAAGAAATAACTATTTCTTCATGAGCATTACTTAGCATCTTATTCATTACAGAAGACTTGCGTAATACCTTTGTTTAATTGATACATAAGAAATAAGTATCTCTCCATAAGACATACATGATGTTAACTTGCGCTTTATCTATACGTAAGAGGAAGTACTTAATAATCTTACGCAAGACATACGTAATACGTTTGTTTAATTGATTTTAACTTACGCTTTATCTATTACGTAAGAGTAATTACTTAATACAACTCCATGATAAACTAATATTATGTAAACATTATATATAAGCATTGTAAATAAATATTGGAAAAATTGTAAAAAACTACATAACGAAAAATATTGGAAATAGTGGTGGAATAGGATTCTTCTGTTGGAAGTAATTCGATATTGATGGAAACTTGAGGATCGAGAAATAATTTGATTGCTTAATTAAAGGTGATTGATTGAGCAATCATAGCTCATCAACACATCAATCACGAGCTGCAAAAATAAAGAAAGATGAGCTGCCTACAATGGACACTTCTCTCATGATTTCCATCTATAAAAGGTGATGCTCCTGCATAGAAAGAGAGTACTTTGAGAGAAAGCGGCATAAGGCTTCTTATCAAAGGGTTTTAGCAAAGAGGGAGAGGTTCTTTGCTAGTGACTGGCCTTGGAATTTGGGTGTTCCTCACATCTTTCTATTTGATCTTGTCGCATTTCTGTTTCACTTTTGAGTTGTTGATCATTCTTGTAAATCGGATCATCCAGAAAATCATAAATAGAGTCATAGGGGTGGATGTAGCCCATTACACCGGGATGAACCACGTTAAAAATATCGTGTGTCATTTTGATTTCTGCACTTTCCTTCTCTTCTCTGTTTTTCCCTGTTATGTCTCTCTATTTCTTCAACTTTACTTTACTGGCTGAGTCTTGATCGAAGCAGGAGACAAAAGACTAAGGCTTGGTCTTGCTCCACGCTGGGCTCGTTTCTAAAGACAGCCGAAGCTGGAGACTCGCCCATAGTCTTCTAACATGTTATAATTCAAGTGGGCTTTGTAAAGATTGTGGGCCCAAATTAAGGGGGAGAAAAGAACGAATGCAGTGAAGGACTTTACCTTCAGTTTCTGTCTTTCGTCCTTTTCCATCCTTCCCTTTCCCTTTGCTTCCCGATCTTGCAATCCCTAGTTCTATATCTTTGATATCAATTGGTATAAGAGCCAATCCCTTGATTGAGCTACATACTATCAAGGGAATCAATTATGGGATCGACTGTATTTGGTCATGCATCATATAATCACCCTCCTTTGTTCATAGGAACAAAGTATACCTCCTGGAAGCGTCGCATGGAAACCTTCCTTTGGGGAGTCGATGAAGTTCTATGGTCTGTGGTAAGTGATGGTCCTATCGACATGGACTTTTCCCAGTGATCCACCTGTAATGATGCCCAGAAAAATAACACTCAGCTCAACAAAAGGGTGATGCACATCCTCCACTCTGCCATGGCGACGAGTGAGGCCGACAAGATCGAGCATTGCAACACTGCTCATGAGATCTGGATTGCGCTTGAGAAGACGTACGAGGGAACCTCGAACATCAAGGAGACACAGATCGATCTCCTGATGCATGAATATGAAACATTCTTCATGAACTCAGATGAGGACATTCAGTCAATGTATTTCGATTTACTATCATCTTAAACTAATTGAAGGGTCTAGACAAAACTTTTGTGAGTAAGGATATAAATTGGAACATTCTTCATTCACTACCTAAGGAATGGTTACCTAAAAGAATTGCGGTAGAAGAGGCTCAAAATCTAAACACCTTACCTGTTGATGAATTAATTGGCTCATTAATAAGCCATGAGCATGTCGTAAAGCAAGTGCATGGTGAAGATAAGCGACAAAAGAATCTAGCCTTTCGAACTAGAGTAAATCAAGATGATTTGCCTCTTGATCTTGATAGGAAAATTGCTTTTCTTAGTAGGCATCTTCAATGAATGATTAAACATAAGAATGAGAAAAAACGATTCAGTAATACCTCTCGAAAACTCAACAGTCATGATAACCTCACTCTAGTTTCAAAGATAAGCTGCCCTATAGGCAGACCTGAGAATGTGGATGCAGGTGTTTCAAATAAGGAACCTCAAGGGTGTTATAAGTGTGGACAAACAGGGCACATTCGTGCTTATTGTCCTCTCACTCTCAAGGCCAAGGAGAAAGCCATGATTGCTTCTTGAAGTGACTACGACTTTGATGATGATCAAGTAGACGAGGAAGCATTCATGGCCTATGCCATGAATGTAGAAGGTAATTCTACTAACTCTACTGCTGAACTTGCCTTCAAAACAACTACATTTGACTCAGACATGCATGATGAGAACCATTGGTATATGGATAGTGGCTGCTCCCATCACATGACTGGTACAAAGTAGTTATTTACCTCACTCTCTCCTCGAAATGGTGGTAAAGTCATTTTTGGTGATGACAGTTCAGAGGACATTGTTGGTAGTGGTACTATAGGACGAGAACCTTTTACTGTCATTTGTAATGTCTTGTTGGTTGACGGTCTTAGACATAACCTACTCTCCATAAGTCAGCTGTGCAGCAGCGGCTAAAATTTGGTTTTTGAAGCTTCTCGCTGTGTAGTTGAAAGCTCACAAGATAATAAAATTCTCTTCGTTGGTAAATGTCAAAACAATATGCATGTTATAAACTTTCATACATTAGATCCGTCTAGTGAAATATGCTTCGTAGCTGCTTCACAATTGGAACTTCTATGGCATCGAAAGTTAGGACATGTCAGTCTCTCTATTCTGTCTCAATTGTCTAAATCTAAGTTTGTCCGTGGTACTCCTTCCTTGAAGGATAAAAGTGATTTCTTCTATCATATATGTGTTCAAGGTAAACATACTAACGCTCCTTCAAACCTAAGTCTGGAATTACAACATCCTCGGTTTTTGAACTGATTCATATGGATATCTTTGGTCCATGCAATGTTTCCAGTCTAGGAGGCAAGAATTATGCTTTTGTTCTAGTTGATGACTTTTCTCGATATACTTGGGTGTTCTTTTTTGCACATAAGAGTGAAGCCTTTATGAAATTTCAAACGTTTACTCTTAGCTTAGATAAGAAAATTCTTACTCTTAAAAGTGACAATGGTGGTGAATTCATCTATGATGAGTTTGAGAAGTTGTGTGATTCCTTAGGAATCAATCATACCTTCTCTGCCGTTCGTACACCCCAACAGAATGGGATTGTGGAAAGAAAAAGAATCGAACCCTAACTGAATGTGCTAGAACTATGATTCTTGAATATGGTTTACCTAATATTTTTGGACAGAGGCTATTAGCACAGCTTGCTACATCGGTAATCGAGGTTTAATTCGAAAGCATTTACATAAGACACCCTATGAACTCTGTAAAGGTAGGAAACCTCGTATTTCCTATTTCCATCCTTTTGGGTGTAAATGCTACTGCTTTAATACCAAGGACCAATTAGGAAAATTTGATGCCAAGTACGATGAAGGTATTTTCCTGGGATACTCTGTCAAAGGTCAAGCTTTTAGGGTCTTTAACAAAAGAACCCAACGAGTTGAGAAAACTGTGCACGTAGTGTTTGCTGACACTACCCAGCTTTGCAGCCTGGTCATTCAGATGTAGAGGTGTTTGATCTTGCATAAATGACCACTTTTCCCCACGAGTCAATCATTGCTCCTACACCTGAGGAAGAGCCAAGTCAGGAGACCCCTGCACCAGTCTCCACTCCTGCCATTCTTTCAGCATCTGACGACTTACCTCAAGTAGACACAAGTGGACCAAGTTTCGAATATGAAAGCATGGCTCCAGCAGACTCTCGGACAGCTCCATCACACATTCAGAGGCGACACCCTTCCTCTCAAATCACCGGTAATATGAATGATGGCATTCGTACTCGAGGTAAGTCTATCCCTGGTCAATATGCCTTTGTGTCCCAATTTGAACCTAAAAAATTTCAAGAAGCTATTCAAGATAAAGAATGGTTCTTCTTAATGGTTGAGGAACTAGCCCAATTTGAACATCTGCATGTTTGGGATCTAGTTCCTAGACCTATAAACCACCCTGTCATCGGAACCAAATGGATTTATCGCAAAAAAATCCAATGAAGAGGGGTTTATAACACGTAACAA